TATTTATAAACAGTATAGATAACTAATGCCATTGTCTGCTGACAGACAGTAGATATCAACATGGGTGGCAATGAGTACTCTTAGAAAAATGTTTTCACTTTTTAAAAAAAAAAAAGAAAAAAAGGTGCATCACTGACACATCACACTTTGAAACGATAAACTTCAAGCTTAGTCAGCCAAAGACTTTGTAAGCTGAGAAATATGTAGTTGACTACTCATTAATCATCACTTGAATATGATGCCACAGTACACTTTGATGTTGAACAAGCACTCGATTTTGAGAGAGTTCCGAGAAGGACTCTTATCTCTGGATGTCATTAACTTTCTTATGAAATATCCTGACTCATTTTTTAAGGTAAATGAGTCAAACAACATGTTATAAATCCTTATCGCTCCTCATCTGACAAGTATTGGCTTGTGGGCTTTATCAGGATTTGTGGCCTAAGCCAAAACGTGTCGCTTTAACATTAAAGTTCTTCTGTATACTGCAGATGTTGCTTTTTAACCTCTTCAGGTTTTTAACCAAGATATTCTTTCATTTCCAACCCTTTTTTTCCCCCTACAAAAATGGACATGCAGGGCATTGATGGTGGACTCCTCATCAGGTGTGCACGCACACATGAACATACATCATGAGTGCAGAGGGAGCTGAACAGAAGAACGGTCATTATCATTCCTCCCTGTCACTCACCAGATGGGTCCACAACTGGACACACACACACACACACACGGAGACACACACACACACAGACACACACACACTGTAACCTTCAATGTTTCTTATGGCCTTCACAGGCATTCCACTGCAGGCAAGTTTTAGCTATGAACCCATATTTCACTCCTAAAAACATCTACAGAAAATAAGCCAAAAAAAGGGAAATAAACTTTGCTGTCAAACTCCTGTTTTCCATCATCTCAACGACAACCTCTGTCAACCCCCACGGTGCCAAAAAATGTGAGCAGACGTGACACAAAAAGCCGGAAGATGTCAGTTCTGTTAATGGCTTTGTGTCGTCCTTAGAGAGCAGAGCAGGTCGCAACAAGTCGTTTTGTTCTCTGCACTGTACTCGCACATATAACACCAGAGAGCCCACCCTCAACACACACACACGCACAGACACACAAACCTGGTCTACAATTTCCAAAACAGGATTTTTACTGTCACAGCAAGAGAGATTCATTGTCCATGATCTTTTGCTCTTCCTCCTCACCCTAAGTTTAAAGAATAAAGGGGCCACGAGGGGGAGGAGGAAAAATGTACAAAAAAAAACTTGAATGCATTCACAGAGACTGGAATCTATCCACCAGAGAAATAAAGAGACAGGTAGAGATGCATACACACAACCAAACTGCACTTTGTGGTTTCTTACACTGAACTAACTGAACCAATAAGCAGTCAAAACACTATGAAATCAAACTGTGAGTGTATCATGGCCTCAGCAAATCAACACATTGGAAAGCCTGATAGTGAGATAAGATACTATGTGATATGTCTTAACCAGAATGATCTCAGTGGAGAAATCTCTTTAGGGACAGTCAGAGATCAGCAAGTGTTCTTACTCAATGTTGGGAAGGACTCCTTTTGGCCTGTTTGAACAAGATAGGGATAATTGAATAGGAAAGTTTATTTGTAGGCTACTGCAGTGCTGAATATACAATCACTGCTAATTAATGTGTCTACTGAGTATCGTGCAAGTTGCATTTTTTGAATGTAGGTCATGAATTTTTTAAATAGGAGTTAGTCCCTTGCTCTGATCTTGCAGGAAGATCCATGAAGCAACATGTGTATTACCGGTGACAGATCTATCAATCAGTGTGTGTCACTGTTGGCCAATCCCGTGCGTCACCCTGCAAACTTCCCAATACAAGCATTTTCATGTAGGTTTGGAATTTAATTTATAATTCAGTCGCACAAAAATCACAAGACGAGCCTGTAGAGTCTGAAACTAATCACGTTTTCAGCCATGTCGACAGGAGGAGGGTGGTTACTCACCAAAAAAGACACAAAGAATATCCACCACGACCAGGATCAGCTTCTTCCCTTGCTCGGTCATGTTTCCTCCGGTGCCCGCTTCACTTTCATAAATGAATCGTGTTTACAAAAAAAAAAGAGGCAGTGGGGAGAGTTGTAATGTAAGAAACACCTGGACTAGCTTTGGACAAAACACTATCGGGACAAGTCGGACCTGCTCGTTCTTCCGGCTCTTCTGTATACCTGTCCGCTTGCCTGCCTGTCTGTCTGTCTGTCTGTCTGTCTGCCTGCCTGCCTGCCTGCCTGTCTGTCTGTCTGTCTGTCAGTACTGCGCTGTTCCAGGTGAGCTGCAGACAAGAGGACGCGGAGCTGCGTCCTGTAGGCCTGCCTTTTTTACGCACGGAGGGGAGGGGAGGGCTGTCGTGGAAGAGGGGCTCAACGCTCTCAGTGGATGGCTTCCTGAGATCTTTGCTCCAAACTGGATGCCCCCACCACCCCCGCTTTACACCCTTTCTTTCCACTTTCTCTTTCTCTGCTCTGGGTTTGGTTAATCAGTTACAGGCAGCGCAGTCCATGCAATTGATAACCATGAACAATTCCCGGCTCTACCACGTGGTGATTGCTCTCTTGGCACTCACCTCTTGGCAAAGGCATGACACACTCCATCTCACTTCAAATATAACTTATTGTGCGGGGTGACTTTTAACAGTAGAGATCTCAGAATAGTGTGGGAAATGGCCAGATTAAAGACTTTGACATTATGGAAGCCCATTTGTGCCAAGAAAAAAAACAGACAGGTATGATAAAAGTGCAAATATTCACTGTAAGTCAAAATTATAAGATATAAAGTCAGACATGTGACTCCCACATTTATAAATTTGATCTAAAATGTAAAAGAAAATGGATATAATCTCATGATTCTGATTTAACATCTCACTTAAAAAGTCAAAAAAGTCACAAGTCACTTGATATGTCATAACGTTGACTTTATCATTCTTAACTTTATCTGTGTTTCATGTCTTTTCTTGGCGGACAGTAGCTTCCATAAACTATGAACAGAAATACTATAAGTGATGGCTATCTGTCTATGAAAGGCATAATCCACATTGTGATGCTTTTTCAGTGGGAATTAAACTCTTAATTTGAATTTTAATGTTAATTTTCTGCACCACAGTGTGAGACTTCTAATATTAAAAGTCAGTACATACTGTATATTTATTATAGAGATAGGTTGTGCCAAAACAGCCTTCACCAAAACAGGTTTGACTCAATATCCAACAATTTTGACTTAACATGAGTATTTAAAGTTTTATAGTTTCTAACATTTTATCACTTTTTATTTTTATGGCATAAATAAGCTTTCATAGATCTTTTACACACATTTCAGCATGTCACAGTGGGAAAAGCACTGGTGTAAATAATAAAATGAACAATGGCTGAATTCCATGTAGCTGCCTCATTTTCAGGCATCTGCTGTTGTACATGCAAACTGTCATCATGCATGGCTCAGAGAGACACTTGAATAGAACTGAGACTTTGTTATGTAATTAATAATGCCTGTGCTTTTTCTGTTATGACAAGTAAAAATGTCTTTTGTGAAAAACCTTTACAAAAACACAGAGTACGCTGCTCAGTCCAGAAGATATCAAAGTAACCTGCTTGGCTGAAAACATAACTTCAAACACACAAGTTATATAAGTGAAATGAGTCCAGACATGAAATCATCACCCAGGATATGTACTGTTTTAATGTTAAAATGGTTTGTTGTGCATTGAAGTGCATATATTAATGCTCAGACATACATATAAAGTGAAAACTGATTAGCGCTTCAGCTCAGGTGTGATCATAGTTAAAAGAACTGCTACAAAGGTTTGTAAGACTGAATTCCAGTTAGCAGCATTTTAGCTATAAGAGAAGTCTGAATCTGAGGTATGTGAGTTTTCAAAGGTACATGAGCCAACTAACAGAACTCTAAAGAGGCCAGAAAGTCCCTGTCCAAACTGCAAATACATAATGGAAAAATTATGTAACGTGTCAAGGGCAAGATTCATAATAAACTGCATCAGTGAGGAGAAGCAGCTGCCACTGACCAAAAAGTAAATAATGGATATTAAGTATAAACGAGGACAAGAAATGCTGTTAACTGCCATGCAATCTAATTTAAACTGGTAAAAATTCACACACACACACACACACACGCACACGCACACGCACACGCACACGCACACGCACACGCACACGCATGCACACTCACACACACATTACAATCCCAGACATCTCAAATCTAAAGCTTTCATGTATATCTTAGATTGCTTTTAACTGTACAATAGCACATTCAAAAATAAAGTTGCCCTGAAAGAAAAAAATAAAACAGGCATCTCAAACATCTGTGTATACAGTATGTACAAAAGAAAATGTTGCAGCCTGTGTTCCGTGGTATTTACATTCCTTGGATTTTAAGTTAGGGCTCAGACATACAGTATATGAAGTGCAATGTCAAAAACACACAATGAAACCTTCATAATGAAAGACATATAAAAATATAATGACTGTAATTGACTTTCTTGCTGAGAATCAGACGGTTAATACCACTCTCATGTGGCTACAACCAGCTGCTCATTAGCTTAGCTTAGCATAACAACTCGCCTGGGTTTGTCCGAACATAAGATAATGTGTCATTTTTACATTTGTTTTGTTTTTTTATGTTTTTTTTGTTTTTGTTTGAACCAATTAAACAAACATCTAAAATATTAATTATTAATTCAAAGTTTCTGGTACATTACATGGATTTGAGCGACGCTAACTTTTTCTGTTTATGCAGACCATCAAAAAAAAAAAAAAAAAAAAAATCTATAAATCAGATTGATCTAAAATAATTTAAAAAATAAAATGCAAAATCTGTTTCTGATAAACAATCCACTGTGATTCAAATTTGTCCAAAAAAATGATGGAAGTTTCCATGAGTCAAAGGAGGTGAGTATATTTATTGAAAGTTGAAACTAAACTAACTAACTAATTAACTAACTAACTAACTGTGAGGGTCACACCCCACAGGACAGTAGGAGAAATCCACGAAAATATGAGGATGAAAAGACGTAAAATTGTCAGGTGAAGCATTGGGGTGAGTGACGGTGTCGGGCTGGAGCAGTGGGACTGAGTTTAAGTTGCTTTGAAGAAAAAGGTGTTTGGGTGAAGGGGGCTCAGCAGTGCGAGAAAGTAAGACAGAGGATGGAGAGATGCTGCTGAAGTCATGGAGGGAAATGAGGCTTTGATGCTTTTTCAGACAAAGAGGAAAGGTTTTCAGTTCATCTGCTAGGGAAAGAGGTGAATCCAGTTTTGTGGTGCTCCTGCCCTCTTGTGGTGCTCCTGCCCTCCTGCCTTCAAACGACTCAGCGTCTCTACCTAGCTGCAGCTCGACGTCACTGATGCTGACAATACTGTGCTGCCGGTCGTTGAACTGGTGACAAGTAGGTAACAGGATCGGTGATGGAGGATTTTTGTGAGTCTGTGAGAAGACGATGCTGGAGTATGGGCAGGAGGAGAGGTCGGTTTCGGAGGTTGTCTTGGATCTGATTGGGTTCCTGTTCTCTGATATTCTGCTACTCTGAGGAGTCTGAGGCTCTGAAACTGGGAGTGGAGAGTACTCATGACAGGAATATGTTTGGAGGCCAAAGGCCTGATCCAGGTCAGACATCTGCAGCTCACTTTCACCAAGCAAAATAACTTCAGGGTATTTAATGTCAGGCTTCTCTAGTACTGGATGCTGCTCCATGCTCTGAGGAGGCAAAAACAAAAGCCAAATCATTCAATCTGGTGTTTGAAGATGTTTTTAAATTGTTAATTTCTTCAGTTTCTTCATAAACAAAACATTATTTCTTGAAATATTGACAATCACATTTTAGTGCATTTAGTGCATTAGTGCATATTTTACTTTGGAGAAGTTTTTGATAAGTTTAGCACAAAGGAGACCTAGGTACAATGCTTACTAGTTGCCCTGTAAAACTTTAGTGCTTTTACATACAAGCCTGAAAACTGGCACACCCGTGGATAAGACGTGGGAGATAGGAAATGTGAAATGGAAAGTTTATGATTAATATTATTCAAAGTACTTTTTTAAAAATGTTTTTATTGTGTATGTGTGTAAGACCAGACTCCTTTAAGCTAAAGGCAGATGTAAGGACTCAGGGTACAGATGGGCAGATGGGATAGGACTCAGGTTACCTCCAAGGTGGTTATTGGGGTCCAGTAGGCCAGACTGCTGTTAGAGGGATCAGGAATGAACTGACACAGCTTCTTTTTCACCCTGCAAAAGTTATTTTTACAGACAAACAGTACAGAATGAGAACAGATATATTTCATTAAACGACTGGCTCAGTACAAACAGAAGTAGGAAGAACAGTGAGAGCATGGACATTGAGTTTTGAGAATTGTAAAAGAATTTCCTTAGGTCAGGCTGTCGCTAAATCTTACGGGAGGAGACGCTCAGGCGGCAAAGTTGATAACAGAAGACGTTGGATGGTCAGTAACAAACGACTCTCTTTTATGCAACCAGTAATATGGGTATGCGTAAATCATAATTGATTGTTATTTTTAAGGAGCCAACAGAATGCCCACACATCTTCTGTAAGCCTGAGATATGACCAAACATGGGTGTGAGGTGTTTTCTGGGAATGTGAAGAAACTGAAGAAAGACTAACCACAGGGGACGTCTCAGGTAGAACTGAGGTGGCAACATGCACAGCAACATGCATTGATGATACTTCTGTTCTCCTTGGCCAAGCTTCAATAAACATTAACATTAAACACTTTCTTCATAGATGCCTTAACCATCCATGATAAGAATCTCCCTATCAAGGACAACAGGTATATGTTTGTGTTGTTTAGTGTGGGGGGTGTCTCTGGTGCAGCACAAAGATCTTACATCTTATTCTGTGCCAGGCAGGCTATCAGTACCAGCACCAATAAAGTCAGCATGAGAGGGAGGACGGCATGAATCACTATGGAGATTTCCTCAGAACCTTCACACACACACACACACACACACACACACACACACACACACACACACACACACACACACACACACACACACACACACACACACACAAAGTTAAAGATATAACAATATATAATGTTTTTTTTTGTTAGAGTATTAAGGTACGGTGCTTCTGTGAGTGTGTGAAGGTGTGTGTCCCTTCTTCACCTATGTGCACTTTATAGATGGGCCCAGCTGCTCCGGTGCCAGCGTCAGTGTTGGCCTGCATGAAGATGTTGTAGTTACCAGGCGCCAGGTTCCCCAGGGAGTAACGGTGCACATGACCAGGCACAAAATCGCCTGAATAAACAAAAAAATGGTACATTAGTAATAGATTGACTAAATGTGATAAAGAAATGGATAAAAAGATAACAACAAACAAAGGAAAAAAAACAAAAACAATCACAATTGTGCAGTGTGCTTACACGTGTACTTGGAATGCAGAATATCTTTAAAGCCGTCTGCAGAAGGACAGGAAGCAGACTGCAGACTTATTCACATAATCAGTGAAATCAAACCCTACACTTATCACAGAAGGCATTTTCAGGTGGCCTGTTGCAGTACAATGCATCCTTTAAAGCATATTGGCTTGTGTGTGTGTATATGCATCACTCACTCTTGGCTTTTTGGTTTGCGGTGGAGTAGTGGAGTGTGTAGTTGCGGATGAAGCCATGAAGCTGCTCCACAGGCAAAGGACTCCAGCTGAGCTCCACTCTCCCGCCAGAGATCTCCTGCACCGTCACAGTAGGACCAGCTGAGGGCGCTGCACAGACAGAGAGATAAGAGCAAGAGCGATGATGGTGAGCTGTGATAACAAGGCTCAATGTATATCTATATTTAACAGCAACTGATCTGATTAAGTTTGTTTCAACATGCTGAGCAGCTCCTGTCTTGTCTAAATAAATGAAGACAGAGAATTGAATTTCTCTTTTACAGTTAAACATTATTATTATTGTTTTCTTACAAAACAAGCCATCCTGGGCTCTGTTCAGGCTGACATGCTGTTACCAGGCTAAAATAATCCTCTGAAGTCTAGTTTGAAGAATGGTTGTTAATCCTGGATGATGGTATCTGGCGCTCACACTTTAAATAAAGGTGTAAATTAGTAGAGAGTGGAAACCATGATCAGAATTCATATGATTGGATGAGTGCTGATCATGTGATTGCAGCATGCACTGGGACAATAGATTCGTGGACACAAGTCTCACTGGATATATGTCCCTCGCATTGTTAGTTGTTCTACACTTTCCACACTTTGCTATCACCAGTGAACGTTGCCAGACTACGACGGATGTTGACGCACCAATGGTGAGGTTCTCCCTGATGGACATGTAAGAGGCTTCAAAGTGATGATCATGAGCCTGGGATGAAAATGAAACCAAATCTCTTAAAACGCTGCTTTAAATGCATAAACGATTTACAGCACAGTGTATTAGTAGGTGGGTAATTAAAGTGGCGGTAATTAAATTGTGAGAATTACACCAACTGTTCCTAATGATGTCTCAAAAACCACAACTGCATGCTCTCATCTTTAATCATAATAACATCCACACTCAGGAAATTAGTTCACATTTGGGATAACTGTTAATAAACCTGCACTTTTGCAGGTTTGGGCTTAAAGTACGTGTTGCTCTGACAACAGCTCCACATTTTAACCAGCTTTGAAGATCCAAAAAAAACAAACAAAAAAACAGATTTGTGGCAAATCATCAACAATCTAATCTAATGGATAACTCTGGATCACTGTCACAACTTTACTGGCACATCAGCACAGAAGTTTGTTTCTGTTTTCTTATTGTTTGTTACAATGAGACAAACAAAAGTTAGTCACAGTTACGTCACTCGGCAGCCCATTATCAGTGCATGACTGACAAATGTGCTCCATTGATTTCTCCATTTAGAAGTGACTTCCATTTATCCTTCCATTATCATCTCCTCCAAAAGCTGAGAGAAAGAACGTTCTTTGTTCCCCTCAGTATTCAGTGTCAAACCAACTCTGAAATGTGTTTTGCGGTGGTTTCCATGTCGACCAGTAACAGTGAAGCTGTGCGTGGTTCTTGGTTTATTCTGTATCTTCTGTGTGCCATGCACACATCTCTAATGCTGAAACCGATCACTTGCATCTCTACACAAGTGAAGCACAGCCTGATTAAATCATACCATCACACACAGGTTAAATATAAACCAGTGTGTTACTGATGCTGATGATAAACGTATCTGGGCGCCAGGCCGACCTGCTATTTTAATTTTCTGATATTTGACTAAGTTTAAGTTGAGTTCTTAATAACTTGTTAAGTTCCATCTTGTTAGGTTATACATCTCCTCACAAATATACAGTATATATATATATATAACAATGTATGACTGAAGATTTCGCCCTTGCCCCCAACAAATCCCATGAAAAGACTTAAACTATAGCCTGTATAGCTAAAACTGAGCCATAGACCTCCATTGTTGTTCCTTCATTAACATGGACGTGGACACTGTAGTTTATTTTCGGCAGGAACAATTTTGGCTCGGGGCTGAGGGCTGTGATCAGGGAAGGCAGAAAGTTTCAAGACTTGATCAGTTTGCTGACAATAAGAAAAATATAGAACAATGCACACGCTTCGCACAAAAACCACACTCCCAGCTGATCTATAACAAGCTTTTGGCTACTTTTAGAGCTTGGCAAGAGACAAACAGATTATGTACCTCCTTGTCGTGTATAAATATGAAGTGTCCCATTCTTCCCTGCCACTCGCTCACCATACAGCGCTCTGACAGAAACAGCGTAACGCTCCATCGGCTTTACTCCCTCTAAACAACACAAAGATAAAAAGCACTTATTGGTGAATATTTTCAGAAGTTAATTAACTGTACTTGATTAATGGCAAAGGGCAACAAAAGTATTCTCTGTTGCAAAAAGAACATCATGTTTTATTAAGCTGCTGTATGTATCGTATTACCTGTGATGACGAGCATTGTACAGGAGCTATTCAACCTTTCCCAGTGTAGGATGATGCTGCTGCTTTTCTCTCTGACAGCAAACCACTCCACGACAAAGCCGCTCACCGATCGATCAACTGGAGCCGTCCAGCTGACATCTAAGTTGTTGTCATCCAGTGGACTTGCAGTGATTTGGGTCGGGGCGGGCGGCTCTGAACACAAAGACCAGTTTGTGAACAGTAAAAACAAATGGCTGATCTGAGAAGTTTAATATTCTGATCCATGTATTTCTTCAACGTAGAGCAAATCATCTGACGCATAGATTGTATGTTTAGTGGTTTTTGCAACTGTTTCTGCTTGTGAGCATTGTTTAGGGGTGGCCGAATAGCAGGTTTATGCACAACTGCAAATCTCTGGAGGATCCTACACCTTGAGGTTCGCGGGACTCCAGAGGCACCAGCGGCTTCAAATACCTGTTTGCTGCTTTGTAATGGCAGTTTAGCAGCTGCTCTCCTAATCCAATGAATTTGTCTGGCAGAAACCTTCCTCATTATGCCTTTATCTGCACGAACCCGTCTGTGCTCTGAATCAGCCACAAATCTCTTTACAGTACGATGATCACGCTTAAGTTTTCGTGATATATCTATTGTTTTCATTCCTTGTTCAAGGTATTGCACTATTTGACGCTTTTCGGCAGCAGAGAGATCCTTTTTCTTTCCCATATCGCTTGAAACCTGTGGCCTGCTTAATAAGGTGGAACGTCCTTCTTAAGTAGTTTTCCTTGGATTGGGCTCACCTGGCAAACTAATTATCACAGGTGTCTGAGATTGATTTCAATGATCCAAAGAGCCCTGAGACACAATACCATCCATGAGTTTAATTGAAAAACAAAAAATTAAATGTTTATGACACTTAAATCCAATTTGCATAATAATTTTGAACGCGGTGTAGTTGTCATTTGTCTGTGCTTGTTTGGCACACCCTCTTTGAAGGTAGGACTGGAAGCCGCCTCTGCACACCTGGCCAAAGACTGCATACAGCAGGCTTGATCGCCAGATTGTCAGTTTAGAAAAGTTACAAAAGACATAAAGGGCTCTATTTTAACAGCCCTAAGTGCATTTAGGGGCGTGTCCATATCCACTTTTGCTATTGCTAACAGCCGAAAAAACGGTCGCTGCGCCTGGCACATTGTTGAAAATTACTTTACTTAGTTTCTTAATTATTCATGGGAGCGTGTTGGGCGTAACATGCAATAAACTAAACTAATAAAAATCAGTGTCTTTGAAAGCCACGCGTGCTTGCACCTTCATGAATGGGAAACCATTTATGTCTAAGAGACAGTTGTGACTGGCAATGTTACCACAAAGAATGCTCCGACCTTCTGAGGCTGTATTGTAATGTTCCACCTGATTTATCCAAACATCTGAAACTCATTGTCAGCACACTCTTACTTGTGCATAACAGGCAAAGTGTATATAAGCACACATTACTATCTTGATAATGTACCCTCGAAATAACTGCACCACAGACCAGATTTTTGTTGGTCAATCGCTTTCTGCTGCCTCAAGACAGCAATGTGCCTGACCACTCATTTTAAGACCAACACGCCCATGGGTGCTCAGATGGGAGCTCAGATGTATTTGCTATCTAAACAGCGTGGGTGCTGGATGGGAAAGTGACAACTGTGTTTGTGTGAAACTAGCAAAGGTGAACTACATCTTACTAAGACACTTCACGTTCGCTTTTTCCTCAATTTGTTGCCCATTTGTGGTGAAAACATATTGAGTAACTTCAGAGGTTGGATTTATAAGACTGGACAAGAGTCTCAGGTGACTGCACCTCGATGTCATGGGCCATGAGGAGGATGAGTGAGGCCCTACCTGTCTCAGTCGCTCCAAGGAACCGTATCTGGGCTTCTGGCGAGGTCCCGACAGAGTTGGAGGCCGTCAGAGTGCAGGAGCAGCGCTCAGCAGGGAGGAGCAGGGTACAGGACAAATTTGCCTGGTTCAAATCTCTGCAGCTCCTATTATCGTTCAGAATTTGAGCGCTGTCCGTCTGACAAGTCACATTATAGAAGAGAACTTTGCCATTGGCCAGTGAGTGAGGCAAGGGCTGAATGATGTAATCACAGAACCATGAGAGAAAAGAGAAAACAAAAAGTAGAAGTGAGCTTCTGTGAGATGATGGAGGTTTTAATCAGACTATTCTGTTAGATAAACAGATTGTGTCACATTTAGTTCTCTCTTTCTCCAGCTCTCTCAGCGTCACTCTCAACTCCAAACAGACTGTTGCGCAATAAATGAGTAATTTCAGGGAGACATAAAAACAAATTAGGGACCGTTCATAGTAGATGGTGATTAAAAAACAAATCAAATCCCAAAGTTATTAAACTGCAAAACTATGAAATTGATAGACAGAAAATATTATGTGCAAGCCCGTGGCTCAAATTGAAACACAATTCAACACACACACCTTCCAAAGAAGTGAGATGAGCCTCGAGCCATTCTTGCCTGTTTCTTTCACTTGCCTCCAGAAAGCTGGCGCTGCAGATGGAGCTGGCAGACAGAAGAGAGAGGACAACAACATCTGAACGTGACAGAGCAGAACGTGACGTGGCCTACGCACTTTTTACCACATACTGTATGTCCTCTACAGCAGTGGTACTTACAATTAAACAGCGTCACTAATTGTTGACGAGTGACAAACACAACACAGGAGGCCCTGTGAACTCGTAACTATTAACTCTTGCAAGGATCCTGGAGTGAGTTCGCCCATATGATGTACATGTGTGCTAAGGGCTGGTAGAAGTCTCATCACTGTGTCCCTCTGGGTTTCTTGTTGGGGACACAAGCTGCTCTCTGTGGACGGGGCTCCAGAATTACAGAGTTGTTTGGTTCTGCTGCATTTCTGCTCTCATTTCTCCTCCAGAGAAAGGTCAACAACAAAGATTCTGTGTCTTGTTCAAAGACACCTCAGTAGGGACGTTTGCTTTCTAACTGATGGAATATGCTTCGCCCATCTGCACATATAGGCAAACATGCACGATTGTTTGTGTGGGTACAAATTTTGAGTACGATATTCACATGTCTTTTCTTGTCTGTTTTGAACCCACTAGAATTATCTTTGTTTGAAAAAGCATAATTCTAACCAAGGGGGCTTGAATCCAGGTCATCACTATCATCGCTGCTATGAATCAGCGCTGGTTTCATTATTAATTAGGACTAAAGTGACTGAGACTGAGAACAAACACATTACACGTGTTTGTCAACTGTGTGTCCTCTCACCGTCCTCTGCTGTCCGTCCCTGGAGTGCGTTGCTCCACGGGCTCCAGGGACTCTCTGGGCCTTGGTAGCGGTGACGGAGCCGGACGTTGTATGAAGTGTCGGGTCTGGAGAGACAAACCAGGAAGCTGTAGTCTGTCACATTCACATCGTTCACCTGGACATCGAGCTGCACGGGGCAGAGAAATAGGAAGAAGGAAGGTGAGAATTAACTCGTGAAGGAATGTGGAACATTTTAATATCAAGATATTATTACAGTGATTTATTATCACACTGTAAGGAAGCCTGGCAGCCTCCTTACATTTGCTGGGAAATGTTTGATCCCTCTAAGAATACGTGAAAAGGGCCAATGAGGGAAGAGATGTCATGGGAACTGAACATGGAAAATTTTATCTTCACTTGGCAAAAAGCACCACTGCTGTAGGATGCTTTAATATCTTAAAATGCTACGTCTTGCACCTTTCCTTTATGAATGAGTGTTCCTTCATGCAATTATCTGTAGTTTTTGTGCGTATCTGGGAGTGGCAGACCTGCCCCACTGCTGTGACCTCGATTTGGGAATTCAGTTTTCCGCCTTTTATTTCAAAGTCTGCCACGGGGAAAACAGCCAAGGTGCGGCTCCAGGTAACGTTCAGACACTCAGGCTTCCTGACGACTGGACTCACGCTGTTTAACGTCACTGGAGGCAACATCACTGAGAGAGACAGGGAGAGAGGAGTGAGAAAGAGGTAAGAGACTGAAGATGAGGGTACGAGAAGTGCACCAACCTCACCTTCAATTCTACCGGGCTGACACCGAGGATCTGACAATACGTTGAGGCTACGACTGTGCGCTGTGACGGTGATGCAAAAGATAAACCTCACGGATGAAACGCTGATATTGGCTGTGCAGTTGGTGCCAGAGGTGGTGCATTTGAACGTCCTCAGAGAGCTGTTTGTCGTGAAGGGCTCAGGTCTACACATTCCCACGTACATGTACACAGAGAAAGACACACCCATAAATACACACACGCACACCAATATGAAAACAATATCTGTCTGAGTCCTACTTCCTCTCTTACCTCTGGGCATGACAGGCAACAAGCACACAAACAGATACAAAACCACAAACCCAAATAGATGCATGCTTTGTTAAGCAAATGGTTATTCCTGTGTATGTTTCAGATGTTCCCGTGGACATTTGCATGTGCTGTCACTAACACAACCTTGCCCAAAAACACGCATATCACGCATGTCACCAACAAACAGATCGTGAGGTGGCAACAGTATAACTATTATTTCTGAGTATCAGACTCGCCATCAAAGCCTCACACGCACACGGGGAGATTCGAAAGTGATTACAAATGATTAGAATTTGCATTTAGCGAAAGAATAATCATTGTCAAACAATAACGCTGGCACAAACATGCTTGCAAGGCATGATTACATGGAAAAATACAACAGTTTGCTATTGCTGAACTGGGACTTGGATCCAATTTGACTGGTCATTTTGAATCTATCATTAACCCTGATAAATACACTGCAGAGTGCAAAATGGATACAGCGTGTTGTAATGAAAGGTGGTTAAATCAGCTGCATTTTCTCAGGTCAGTCTTGACATTTTATCAGGCTAGACTTTGAGGTAGTTTGGTTTTTAGGGTACAGTACATCCATGTCTAACTCAGAGTAAATGTGTGAAGAGGCTCTGCTTTACAAGTGTAAAACAAACCGAACAAACCGTAACAAATATCAAAAGTACATCTAAGACAACATCAGTGTGTTTCCTGTTTACTAACCACACAGTGGAAAATGCTTATTTCAGCTCTATAGACTATCTTAAATAT